AAGTCGTATATTCAAAGCTTTATTCCTCTAGAACAAAACACTAGTTGATATGCCTAATTAAGTTATACTTTTAGACTTTGTTATCAAACGTATAGCTGAAAATGTTACATGCACAAAAACGTTCAAGTGTTCACTGCTGCTGTCGTATATTATTTTAACAATGAATTGTAACATTGTTTTACCAATGAGATTTTTTTTCTTCTTTCTTTATTATTATTTCCTATAATTTACCTGCATTATTTATTGATTTAGTTCGCTCACTGCTGTATGCGAATTAACCAATCCTAATTGTACTTATGAATATTGTGTACGTCGATTTCCATCGAAAATTACGCCAACATTGTGCACGTTTAAAGTGAGTTGTTATTCATGGATGGAAACGTAGAAAGTGTGTGTTTTTTTTCTTGACTTTTTTAGTAATGTAATAATCTGATCATAATACGCTTTTTTTAGTCATTACTATATATGTTTTAATTTTATAGCAAAGATTTCTCGGATTATAGGATATGTATCAATGAGTTTATAGAGCATACATCACCTTCCAGTTGTACAGTTAATGTGCAATATCTAGCATGTATGTATATTGATATATACAGGGAAATGCTGTTGTACTCCGGCTGTGAAGAACAAATGTCTCACATACTTGGAGTTACACAGATCTTATCCAAAGAAGCCCAGAAGGCAGTTATAGGATGAGAATCTCATGAATCCTAACTTACTTCCATCTATTATCCCAAATAGAGCATTAAGCCGCCGATCAGCATTCTCCAACCCACTCTGTCCTGTTCCTTCTTTTCCAGTTCTATCTTTTCTTTTCGTATATCTGTCTCCAATGCTTAGCATAATGTGTTCTTTGGTCTTCCCTTTGGCCTCGAAGATCCCGGGCGAAGGCTTGTCTTGTGACGCATTTGAGTGATTTCCAGAATGTGTTTCCTACCTACGTCTAGCGCCTCTTAATGATTTCTTCCGCCACTGTAATGATACTTGTTAAGTTTCTCAGCTACTGGTTTTACGATTTCTCGCTCATAACCAAGAATAAATTACATATCATGAATATGGTAGGAAACTACAATAGGTTTCCTAGTATGTTAGGGACGTTAGATCCCCAGGACTCACTTGATAAATGTCTAAAATTTTGGATTTTATTCATGAGCTGATCAGTTGATCCTGAGATCACATTTCCCACCAGGGAAATACTTGGCTGTGATTGGTTCATGTGTTATTTTAGTATGCTAATTTTGTGACTGTCCCAAGGACGTTTCTATGATGTATAAATAAACGCGATTTGTGTGCGTGAATTCATGGTTCTTGTCGGGTGTTTGTAGAATACACTTTCTACGCCATATCAAGACTTTTCTCTTCATTTAGTTGGGGCAAAGGATCAGAGTAACCTACTGTGTCACTGGTTCATTGTCTTGTTCTCGTTTATCGACTAACGTGAACTCGCAGTAGTTTCAAGCATATCAATTGACGAGCATAACACAGTAGTTATTGGTATTCATTAGCATGGCAGTTGACCGAGTTGCGCAGTCTTTAACATGTTATCTCATGAGCGTGAATTGATAGTTATTCATGGTGAATCGGAGGAATCAATCGGTCACCAAGTAGTGAAAGAGAACACAGGTGGGGCAACCGAATTGTATTTAACGAAAATTAAAGAGTTACTCAGTAAAATTGGAAAACCATATCGTAAATCAATAATTTCCAAAATATCAGTTCATCCTATCGAACTGGACTGTTCCTGTTGCAAAACATCAATCCATTGTCGCTATTCATGCGTTTCATACAAATTCCATTGTGTTCTTCTAACTCTTCCTTTCTTGATCTCTCCCCATCTTCCGCTGCCAGACATTACGTTTTTACTCACGTCATATACTACTTATAAGTAGCTCACACCACAGCCCTACTATCTCTTCTATTCAATTCCAGCGCTGTCATATAATGCACAATATGGAACAGTGCAGAGCGAGATTTGTGAATGATAAACAAGCTACTGAATTAAGCCTTTCCTAATGATCAAACTTATTAAATAGTTATCTTCTTTATGCCTTCTGAATTACTTCTCACTACGTGTGAGTGATGTCGTAGAGACATTGAGGATCAAACATAAAAGTTGTGCGACAGTTTCTTCCCAAAGAAGCGGAGCGCGAACATTCTGACCATAACATTCCACGCTAAACCCTTTATGTTCAGATAAATATTACACTAGTATCAAGGGTGACCTACATTAATATGACTCACTCTTGCCTTCTATATACAAAGCTTTTGTTTTATCATCGCCACTAGTCATATAGATTTTCAAATCCTTCACTTTGTCCCAATATTTTCTCATTGTTTGAAAACTTAAAGTATCCTGGAATATTTTTTCTAATATTATTGCCAATTTGTTTGATATTTGATATGATACATGATAACTCTTCCGAATTTATTTTTATTTCTAATAGATACAAGACAATAAAGTCATGTTACGACTGAGAAAAGCTTGTGGTTCAGAACAATGGGCTGGTGCATTAGCTGTTAGAGGTTTAGATCAAGGTTGATTATCCAACTTCATATATCATTGTCATTAAAATACCACATATTTTGTACATGACATCAATCGCTTAAACTGTAATATATATATATATATATGTATATGTATACATGCTCTTGTTATTCAATCACTGCAATTGTGTCGGATCAGAAACACCAACAACAACTACATTAGGAGCATATTTCAGTACAACGATGATTCTATCTCAATCTCCCGTATAATTTTTAAAATGATTTTTCGACGTATTATTGAACGTTTGGCTTTTTTTTTCTAATTCGAAATAAAACATCCATTTTTCTATCCTGTTCTCTTCTAGTTATATTTGCTTTTTTTTGAACATGATGATTTTAAAAAATATATAGATAATTACATTACTTTTGTTTATTATAAATTGTCACATATTTTTCATTTACGAGATTGCTGAAGACACTTGAGAGCTATTGATTTTACGAACCGACCAATGTTAAACATGCATGGAAAACTCGGGGACACGAAACTGTTGTGTCGTTCCAGTATATGACTACTGCTCAGTGGTACTCACCCGCGAACCTACCGGCGGAGATCGATTCAAAAATCGTAGATCGTGTAGGCAAAATATTAATCCCATAGACCATTGATCCGGAATCCAATGTTTTCATCTAACTTCTTTCGCTCCACGACACCCTGTGGTTGATAACTATTTTATAGCCGACACGTTTGGACTCCAGTTGCGAAAATTCTAAGAAGTACTAGGTTCGGCACTTGTGGGGTCGTAGATGCTCACTTCCGAGGAGTCCCATAATACCCAAATGAAATAGCTGTCAAGTGTTCTATAGTTTTTGGTTGGTGTCTAACGTAGATCGGTCCCGTGATATCGATCACAGACATAAGCTGATGCACAATGTAAGCGATGGCACGTATCATAATCATTACATGTCTGGTTAATCGCCTCTAACTTTCTGCAACGTTTATCGGAATTGTATTACGTGATGGTTGAACACATAGAATTACAATTTATGCAAATTACGAACTCCAAAATGATTTAAACAAATAAACATGACAGAAACGAACAAACTTTTTATCAGTGAAAATCTTCACAATCGTAATTACGATTATATATATCCTGGGTGAACCTGGACAAACTATATGCCTGTGAGGCGAAATGGTAGGTGAGAGAGGAAGGTCGTTAGCTAAAACCATCTATGCTATTCGTCTAGGTTTAACACATATATATAATCAATGAGTTAAGTACATTTGAATTCGATTTGCCGATTCTTAACTAATTCTTTTTACTCACTTAGAAATTTGGATTCCAGTAAAACGTAGTTTATATATCGGTATTGGACGACAGCTGCGGATGCTGGTTGTCCGACGGAAACACCTTTACTGCTGTCATACCTCTCTACAGTCAGCAATACGACTTCGCCCTCAGAACTTGAGTAGCTGCTTTTTAGTTTCGGCGTTCTCCAATCGACCCGCCTGGCATCGCAGGACCTAAAGAAACATATATCCCATTCAATATAGCTCGGTCGGATCATCACGATAGGCAAGTTCGACAACCACAACAAAGTAACAGCTATGGTCGGTATTGGACGACCACACAGTGTAAAATATCAATTGCAGAAAAATTCATCAAGAATATGAAATGAAAGGTTACAACAGATAATAATTTTCTTCTCATAAATAAATAATCGAAACAAAAGATCACACAAAAATCACTTAATTGATGAGTGTATCCACACACACACAATAAAAAAAAAGAGAACAATCAGTCGGTTAGTCATAATACAACATTGAATTCGGCAATATGATGTGTTGTTGCCACATGATAGAAACATTGGAACAGAGATAAAGACTTGTTCGTTTTATTGATTTCACAAAAATAAAGTAAAAAAAAAAAAAACAAACAGCACAATGCCAAGCAATAACAAAACAATACAAACAATAAGACTAAAAATGTGAGAAAAGCATCGACCATGTTCAAGAGAAAATCATACATACAAACATACCATTCAGAAATTAAAAAAAAAACCAAGCGACAAGATACATTAAGGTGATGGATGATCTTTAAAACGCGGGCTGATTCATTCAACGTGTAAGCAATAGTAGTGACAAGAACAATCATGAAATAAAACACAAAGTAATAGAGATAGAAATGCTTTAAAAAATATATGCATATATATATATATATTAACATCTTGATAGGTATTATTATAATTCAATTACAACATATCATACATATCATACTCTTGTTTATGCAGCATATATACATACCAGTATGTATGTTGTTTATGGCAAACCAATGGGCGATGAAAACCTATTCTCATTTTTGGACAAAAAAAAAGAATTATACTATTCATTACATAATCTATTTATTATATACGAGCAAAACCATGAATGCAATCCATTTGAGGCACTTTGAAGTTGATTGTTAAATGAACATTGACACATTATCATCATAAATATATATATATATATATATATATATATATATATATATATATATATGCATGTTATCACATTGGTAGCAGTGTAGATATGAGTGCGAGTGAGTGAGTGAGTGAATGAATGATTTGTAAATATAATCATAATTATAAATTTTCTTTTTTTTTTGGATAATTTTCATCATGATTTCTTTTTGTTTGTTTGTTTAATTATTTATTCAAATGAATAATTATTCAAATAATAATATAAAAAGTCAACTTAAATTGTTTTCAATGGCATTAAACGTTCTAGAAATATTTTCAACGCTATTCTATCTTTTTGTAATTTGATCAATGTTACAGTTAATTGTTCATTCATTTCACTAATTGAATTACATTGAATTTTTAATTGATCTATTACATTATTTGTACAATCATCATTGTCGTTGTTGTTGTTGTTCAATGGTTGTTGAGATTCGGTTAACCTATGTGAAATTAAAAAAAAATAAAAAATAAATAAAAGATTGTGGTGGTGTTTTGTTCTACGATACGATACGATACGCTACTCTATCATCTAATTCGAACGTCCCAAACCTCCTCTACCAACGGTATCAAAAAAAAAGTCTTGAAATGGAGTAGTAGAAAGTGTATTCTACAAGCACTCGCAGAAGAAGACAAGCATAAAAGTTTGCAGACAATGCATATTTATACAGTTAGATCGACTGTGAATACTAACACTTATAGGAAAGAACATTTAAAAAAGTATGTGAACTTGATTGTTTTTATAGGACGACCTTAAATATTGACCAATAGAATTAGACTCAAAAAATAATTTCTTTAGGATATTTGATGACATCCTAACAATGATATTTAGATCAATTTGGTGAAAGTATTTAATTATGGAGATGAGTCAATCAATGTTGACAAACAGAATTCACATTTAAGCTGTTTTTTTGAGATTGGTTAAGATGAACCAATCAAAATTGAGGATAAGATTTGTAAGTTTGAGAGAAATGCAAATATAAGACAAGTGTTAGTGAGTTTGTAGCACACACACACACAAACACCCAATTTTCAATTTCCAATATTTGTGCAATTGAAAGAATAATTTTTATAGACGATTTAATTTCACATTCCTAGATGCTTTGTACACCCGTGTGAAAGTTGATGTGCGGCTACTGACAGTGAAATTCTTATTAACCACGGAACATGCGTAAACAGCATATTGATTAATTGATTTATGATTTCTTTCTGATTATTAATTTCTAAAATCATAAATACTCAGATATGAGTATTCTCTCTAGAGAGAAAAACATGAATCGATCAATGTTAGGCTATCATTAGAAACCTGGGAGCATTGGACAGCCGTTTCGTCCTAGTGTGGTGCGAGCTAATTATAAATAGTATATGACGTGAGTCTCGACGTAATGTCTGGCAGCAGTAGATGGGGAAAGATCAAGAAAGGAAGAGTTAGAACACAATGGAATTTGTATGAAACGCATGAATAGTGACAATGGATTGATGTTTTGCAACAGGAACAGTCCAGTTCGATATGATGAATTGATATTTTGCAAATTAACGATTTACGATTTTACTGAGTAACTCTGTAATTTTCGTTAAATACAATCCGGTTGCCCCACCTGTGTTATCGTTCACTACACTGGTATTATACTTATCAACAATACTCATCCACGACTCCCGCAACTCGCAAGATTCGAACCCAGGACCTTTGGTCAAACCTCTGGACCACTGAACCGGTACCTAACGGTGTTCATGTCTAACTTTGATCAATCCACGGTCTTGCGCAATCTCATCCACAATCCTATCATGCTCATTAATTTTTACTCTATTTGTAATTATTTTGAACAACATATTGTTTAGTGTACATTGCAGTTCTCGATCGAGCGTAACTAGCTAGCTTAAAGGTATAAAACATATCTTACTCTTTTTGTATTATCGTAGTGTAATATTGCATATATCGAAAGCATAATTTAAGTGATAGTAATTATTAAAATATCATGAAAATTCAGATAAACTAAGAGAAGAATCTTACTTCATTTCCGTCATGTTGAATTTCGTTGCAACCGATGGAACAAGTTCCTTTACACACATAGAAAAATAACAATGAAAGAAATAATTAAGTGATGATAATTTGTGGCACTGGTCAATCAGTCAGTCAGCCAATCATAAACAATGTAGAATTATATGGCATTGATTGGAGTGGATGCATCATAACAATATACAATGGGATGATATTGTCAAGACCAAATTGATGGTATACTAATAGAATTAGCAACAGCATCAATAATAATAGTAGAACAAAAATTAGCTTCAGATGATAAGACAACCAAAATAAGTATGAAACTCAGGATTCATAGGAAGACAAAGCGAAAAAGTTCCAATTGATTCTAAGCCATATCAATTCACATCTCTTCAACGATTGATCATGTGGATCGCAAACAGATAGTCTACACTTAGATATATTACTTACTTACTTACTTATGCCTGTTACCCCCAATGGAGCATAGGCCGCCAACCAGTTTTCTCCAACCAACTCTGTCCTGGGCTTCTCTCTCCAGTTCTGTCCAATGTTTGTTCATTCTTCTCATATCTTTCTCTATTTCTCGGCGTAATGTATTCTTTGGCCTTCCTCTTTTCCTTTTGCCTTGAGGGTTCCATGTGAGGGCTTGTCTCGTGACGCAGTTAGGTGCTTTCCGCAATGTGTGTCCTAACAACTTCCACCGCTTCTTCCTGATCTCCTCCTCCACTGGAATCTGGTTTGTTCTCTCACACAGTTCGTTGTTGCTGATCGTGTCTGGCCAACGAATCCGAAGTATTTTGCGTAGACAGCTGTTAATAAACACTTGTATCCTCTGGATGATTAATTTCGTAGTTCTCCATGTTTCCGCTCCATACAGTAGAACTGTCTTGACATTTGTATTGAATATCCTGATTTTGGTTTTGGTTGAAAGTTGTTTGGAGTTCCAGATATTTTTCAATTGTAGAAATGCAGCCCTTGCTTTGCCAATCCGTGCCCTCACATCTGCATCCGATCCACCTTGGTTGTCGATGATGCTGCCCAGATATGTAAACGTGTTAACGTCCTCCAAGGCATCTCCACTTATATATATGACTTAATCTAATTGTTCTGTATTGCTTAGCTATCTTTCAATCTACTCTAATACTAAAATGATATCACATATCAGCGTAGATAATGATTGAACATATAGAATACATGTCCCAACTACTTGAAGTGATTGTAAACTTTATCAATCGGGGAATCCTAACTATATAATTCAGTAATCGTAAAAATAAACACGAGCAATACACTTTGTAAGCATCTATGGTTAGACACTAGTAACCTATCAATAGGAATTGAATGTAAATCACTGTTAAACGTACTTTAAACTAGCAAATAAACTACTCTTTATAGTCCTTTACAAGTTAGTTGGTAATGATGATGCAATCAATATCTTAGTTAGCTAAATTAGCAGACATAAACAAATTCGTACATTATAATGTGATTTTACAATTGATTTAGAGTTCTAACTAATCACTACTAAGACGTCTGTTGAAGGAAATATGCTATACAATTAAGCTGGATTAAACAATGTGTCAATAGTCACACTGAAATAGATTGAATAACAACAGCATATAGTCGGTAAAAAGTAAAATTCAATAGCCAACAAACAGGTGTGTACTAGTTGTAACGTGAAGAATCATAGAAATTTTAGTACACTAGTTCAGGAAAAAGAAGTCAGTCAAATTTGGGTAAATGAACTATGCAATAATAATCACAGAACCAATGATATCTACTTAAACAAACAATTAAGTTGTTTGAGGTGACCTTCTCAATGCGCATCTGCATCTTCAGCTGATCCTGTGAAGACAGCTAAAGTGGGCGTAACCGCTTGCTTAGATAATTCCCAGCTAAATCCTATTGCTTAGTATTCTCTGACCACAATACACTGGACAAGTCCCCAAGAATCAAAAACACGGTTGAACAGGAAAAGATTATAATCCACATAGCAAGGTTAAATGGAAATAAGAAGCCAAGGGTGATGGCGAAGGCAAAAATAGACACAACGTTAGTCTATTTATAGCATTTACATGAGAAAGCTTCTGGATAGAAATTCACGTGACCGAATGGATTAGATTTAGCCAATCAGCACGCAGCTAACAATACGAGAATCTTCTACCCTGTTCTCCAAGAATCGATCAGGCGCTGATTGGATAGGAAATTAGCCAATCAGCGCGCAGCAACGTAGTCATGTTTTAATTCCATCTATGTCCCACTAACAAAATAAATGAGTGACCCATCGCCGAGCTTGGTTTAGAAAGGTCTAAACAAAGGCAGTGCTCATGTCTATGTTGGTGCATTTGGTTGATAGTAGTCATATGGAGAAATTATTGCCAGTAATCTATTGTATGCCATCACATAAATAGAGCTGAAACTAGAGGGATCCTAACCTACAGACGTAGTTTATGTGTTCAGGAGAAATTTGTGATACCCCTGTCACTTCTTTGACCGAACGTGACCTGATAACCGACTTTACTGACTTTTTTACACTCTATGCGTGTCATTTTGTCACCGTTTTTCTGTTTACACTCTTCAATATCCAATTAGTTATAAACTTCTCATTACGTAATATTAGTAATGTTTTGTAAGCCTTATTTTAGACTATTTATTCAAGTTTGACCGGTTTCCATTGTTCACTAATTGTTTAGAACATTTATTATTCGTACCTATCTTCTTACTATCGATTTGTACTTTTATCTATTATATTTAATTATGTAATCTACTTGGTTGTGATCATTGTCCTTAATTGGCTTAATAGTTTTATATAAAAATATTTATGTATCTTAGAATCAAGTCTAATTGACTATTTAATTTGAAAATAATATTGGTCACATTAATCTGTGTTGTTCCAACTGAGGCAATGAGGATTTTTAATATGTTAAATAATGTGTCATCAACAATGATGTAGATCTTGTGGGTGAATATGATATGATAAGTAAAATGTAAAAAGTGTTGAAGGGTCATGTGTGTAATATGATAACAACAACAACAACAAATGCACATGTGTGTCAGATTCTATGTAGCTTATGACGAACTGACTGAGTATTTTATTGAACTACGACGCATTTCAAATTGTGAATAGACAAACAAATGAGAGAGATAGTATGTGAACTTTCTCTCAATAACAAACAACACATACTCTGAGCAATGCTTACTTATTTAATCAGTTTGACATTGGTAATTGTAAATTGGTTAAAATGTACATAAACCGTTTGAATTGACTGATAAATTAATTGATTAGGTATAGTCCTTAGACAAATGTTGTTTTTCCAGTAATGAAACATGAGGTAGTGACAAAGACAGTAGTGGGATAATAAAAATAAAAAGAATCCGGAAATTTCCGAAGAAACTGTAACAGTCAATATGTAATTAACTAATATATCTACATAACTATGCCTGGAGCCGGTCCCAAGCCCGGATAAAGGAGGAGGGTTGGGCATGGGCAAAATATTTCGGATTCGTTGGCCAGACACCATCAGCAACAACCTACTGTGAGAAAGTACAAACCAAATTCCAGAGTAGGAGGAAATCAGGAAGAAGTGGTGGAAGTGGATAGGACACACACTGCGAAAAGCACCCAATTGAGTCACAAGATAATCCCTCAAGGTAGAAGGAAAAGAGGAAGGCCAAAGAACACATTACGCTTAGAAATAGAGAAAGATATGCGAAGAATGAACAAAAATTGGAAAGAAATGGAAAGAGAAGCCCAGGACAGAGTAGGTTGAAGAATACTGGTCGGCGGTCAATGCTCCAATGGGTGTAACAGGCGAAAGTAAGTAAGTAACCAATTCTGAGACACGTCAGCTAACACCCTGGATCATGATAATGGCATAGATATTTCAATCAGATAATCTTCATCTATCGAATTAACTCAGTCCAATATACCTGACAACTTCAAGGATTAGTATTATGTTTTGATTTAATAGTCATTATTTTCCATCCAACCGATTCTCTTACACTAGGGTAACATGGCATATCGACAAAGATAATAAATAATAATAACTATTATTCAAACATTAATATATTTCTAACTGAAAACTCAGCCTGTAGACCCTCCGGGGCTACAGCCAATCCCAAGCCCGGATAAAGGAGAAGGGTTGGGATTGGGGTTGGCGACCCCATCTCGCGAAAAACTAACTTGCTAGAAAAACGCTAACAAGAAGAAATCATTCAAACTATTTAAACTCTGCTCTGGGAGTTAGAAGGTCTTCATTTAGGAGTTATAACGTCTCATGATGAAAGACAAGTTCCTTTGGAAGTCATGAGGCCGATTCCCCTTCTGACAAACAGAGCCCTTTCACGGTCTAGGCAGCCGAAAAGTAATATCCGCTCTCATACCCGTAAAATCATACGAAACAAGATCCGTCACAACCAAATCCATTCTACACCTCCTCCTATCTCCACGAACAACCCTTCTTTCGATCGTTTGTCACCTCGTGCCGCTGGTACAAACGGTTTGAGCTCACAAAACGTTATTCCTGGTCTCCTGAAACCCAGCTTTAAATTACATAGTGGAGCTCTTATTGTTCAAACCCTGTGCTAAATTGGGCGACAGGCTTCATTAGCTTGAACTCTGGAATCCCGACACAAAAAATAAACGAAGCTAATTTCAAAAATAAGCCTAATATATAATGTGTGTAAAAAAAAAACTAACCTCTTTCATGTTCATTGATGAAATATCACATTTCTGTCCAGTATGATCATTATTCACACAATCCTCATCATCAATACTAGTGACAAGTAATAAATTAGCTCTAGGTGGTGGTGGCGGAGGTGGAGCTTTTGATAGGACTGATAATAACGATGGAGACACCATCGAATCGGAATGTTGACTATTATTGAATAAAATAGGAGATGAATGAATCGTAGTCAATGGTGGTGGCAACCAAGGAGTGGATTTAATTATTGGATTATGAGTTGTAGTACAAAATGCATTATTATTATTATTATTATCATATGGAAATTGATATGTATGTAAAAATTCATTTTTATGATAATCTACAGTAGAATAATCATCTTGAGATGAAGTTCTCATTGAATTCACCATCTCAGGAATAATAGTTGATGGTAATGTTCCAGCTCTTAATGGGATAGGATGTTTTAACTAGAAGAAAGTGAAAAAAAAGAAACAGAAAGGAACGAACTTAAAGATAAAGAAATATTTGTGGAAAAAGAGAGAAACTTAATAAAACTAGTGGTTTAGTCGGTTAAGGTGTTCACCTCTCAGTTAGGTTCTATGACCGAACTCTACTTTACTGAATTCAGTTCGCGAAGCCCATTTAGTATCATTAGCTGAAGTAACTACTGTATGAGTTAGTTCACTTAGTTGTTTTATCCTCTATTTGGAGGAGAGCAGGAGGATGAAGTGTTAAAGTTATAGTAACTTCATTACCAAATATATGTTTATATGTCCCACCGTAGCTGCTACAATGACGTGGTTGGTTGGGCTTGCCTATTATAGTGATGACCGAAACGAGCTATATTGGCCATAACATATGTTCCTTTAGGTCCTACTATGCCAAGTAGGTCGATTGGAGGACGGTACGACTAAAAGCAACAACACAAGGTCTGAGGGTGAAGTGATACTGCAAACCGTAAAGGGAGGGTAACCTGGTTGGGGTCCGCGCGACAATAGTAAACGACCATTAGAGACCTTGAATGATATGGTTCAAAATTGTTTGCAATAGCACAGGTGCATTTATTCTTTGTCTTCTCTAGAATTTTTCTTCCGAATTTCTCACGACCCCCGCTTTTTCTCTTTCTAGATTTAATTCACTGGATTATACTTCTTGAATAATATCTTTGAACACTTATTTTCTGCATTACCGCCAATACTTCTACTACATCTACCAATATGGCATTTGAATTGACAATTCTATCTTTCTGTGCTAATGTAGTATGTCAACTTGAACTGATGTACATATGTACGATGTTCTACCACCTTGTAGCTGACTGACTGACTGATATGTTTATATAACCGGTGAATTTGAGCCAAACTTCCTTAATGTGAGGACCAGTGATAGTGTTCGAACCGCAGTAAGTAGAAAGGAGTTCAAAATTGTGACTTTGTAGCTAGACACTACTGTCTGTATACAGGACAACTGTGAGAGTAGGAAATCCCATTCTAGATTATACTGTACCAGGTGAAAAACAAGATTTGATCTTTCCACAACTCAGAATTCAGAATTCATGGAATAATGTTCTTTTTGGTTTACTGAAGAAGCACTCATTTTAAAGAATCAGACATTGTATTAGCTGACAGTCGCCGCAACTAAAGTTAACAGCCTGACGAAGTTATCATTCAAAGTACACAATGCATAAGTCATTGTGTTTTAATAAACTGTTTGGACGAAACCTAGATTAGGAGCAGTGAGGTAGAGGTCATAGTGACCATATTTTTGAAATAGTAATATGGAATACCCACAGTTTCGTTATGAAAAACAGAATAAGAAATAAAAGATAGGAGTGAATTGGAGCTTTTAGCCATCTTATTGACTCTTCTCATTCGAACATAATAAAATTCATTCATTAGTGTTCTGAAATAAGGACAGAATCTAAATGAGTTAAAAATTGAATAGTTCGTTGTACGGGTCCAGGAACAGTGTGCAGAAATTTAGTATAACTTATGGTAGGAGACCGCAGAAACAGATCGATAAAATTTAAATTTGAACATTTAAGCATATCAAAGTGTCGTATCAATAGAAAGATCCCAAGGGACATTTATATATATATATATATAACTAGATTACTATGAATGTATATTCCGTTATCAAAAGCTTTCAATCAATCCATAAACCATTATCACCCAATTACCTAATCCTATTACATTGCCAGTTTATTACTAACAGTCACGGCCACTTTTTGGCTAACTCATAGATAACTGTTATTTTTTATTTTAATGATGTGACATGGTTTTTGATGATATGTTTTCATTTAACGAAAGGTAGTTGCTACTCTCAAAACACAAGATTGGAGGTAAGGAGATGAGCTGGTAGACAGTGGAACCAATAGGAACCTAGCTACCGATCCAAGATGAATAGTTCCAGTCATGTGTGTGTGTGTGTGTGATCGATTGCCCAAATTAGAGACACTAAGCTAAAGAGTGAACAAGAGAGACACAGAAATTCGAAATAGGGGATTCAGATTCAATGACTTGTCACAACATAACATTAGTGCCTACATGACACATGTATGTCTATAAGATAGTGTAATCAATGTATAAACTTATTTACTTGTGGATTTGTACTTAATTTCGATTCGAATAAAATCATTCCTTCTTCCGATGCTAACAAACTGCTAACATCACTTTGACTTGATATAGACCAACGTCTTTGCAATTGCTGATGTAATTGCTGTTGTTGTTGCTGTTCATGATGATGATGATGATGATGATGTTTTAATTCTGTAGAATTTGTAGTTTGACTTGTTTCAATTGGAAATGTATTAATATGAATTGATGATGGTGTTGTGATTGTTTTCATTTGATAAATTGATGTAGCTGTAATTGATGATGATGTAGACGATGGAAATAATGACAGATCATGATGAGGATGATTATTATTATTATTATTATGATCGAAATGTCGACATGAATTCGATACATCTATGGATGCATATCTTAGTGAATTGTTATAATGATTTGATTGGTTAATAAGATTCAATGTACAATTACTGTTAGTAGTCGTCGTAGTCGCATTAATAGTAGTAGTAGTAGTCGTGTTAGTAGTAGCAGTTGTAGCAGTAGTAGTAGTAGTAGTGGTTGTTTTTATTGTTGTTGATGATAATATAAATGATGATTTTGTAGATAACCAATTTGTTTCAATTAATTCTAATAAAACTTTAGGCAATTTATTAGGTATTGGAATACCATTTAATCGATAAACAACTAAATGCATTGCAATACAAAATTCACTTAAAGTTAATTGTCCATCATGATCAAAATCAGATAATTCCCTGAAGAAAAAAAAAGAAGATTAAAATTGGAAATAAATAGCAGTTGTCATTATGTACTTGTGAATTGTTCAGATTCACAATACAATAATTATGTTACAACATGATCTATGTTAAAAAGACTGTGATTAAAAAGATTGAACATACAAGAGAGGAATATAACATTAAAATAATAAAATATAACTGTATGCATGCCTATTTGACTATTTGTGTTCGTTTCCAGTTTAACAAGCATGAATCAACGACTTTAATTAGACAATTATTGACGACTAAGAAGCATAAGACAATTGGTTTCGTTCTAATATGCTGCAGCGTAATAATAGTGAGCATCTATGGATTGCTCACAAGAACTAAAATCAGAATGTTCAAGTATTGTGATAATATAAGCGTTTAATTTGATTTGGCGTCCAATTGGATTTACATTTCTCAACTTCAATCAACTTATTTTAAAGTAAGTGTACCACTAGAATCGTATAATATGAACCAAAAGATAACTAACTACCTATCTAACGAATATTCCTTAAAGAATAACATAAACATAACTCTAACTTGATTGACGAATACCTAAGCAAATGTCAGAATTATTCGAAAGTAGAAATCTCCAAGTAGTTAAGTATATATCATTTGATAGTAAAACATACAATTGATTATTGTCTACAACTATGTAACATTACAAAATCAGTTTACCGGTGACAAAACACATATACAAAGTGTAAAATATTTGGATTCATTAGGAATATAAATATTTAAAACAAATTATTTGTATTGGATTGCACACTGTACTCAAAACCTGTTTGGATATTCACCAAATATCTTAAGAATACTATTTTTAGAAGTACAATCCTATTGGCCGATTTCTATTGGTCAAAATTATGATCGTTCTAACTGTCAAAGTCAAATACTTCAATGTTGCCTCTTATTGGTCATCTGGACTGTCAATGTCATTCAAATGTTCTTTTCTATTGGTCGTCCTAAACTGTCAATGTCACAGACGTTGATGCTCTTTCTTAGTCGACCTTAATGTATAAATACGCACTATCTGAAAGACTTAATAATTTCGGTTCTCCTGCCTATCTCTCTTCTGTTCTCGACCCAATAAACAATTCCATCCCACGGTGTTACGTTCTGATAGGAGATTTGGAAATAGCATTTTGGGTCGTATTGGGATATTTGAATTGGACGCCACTAGGACTGAATAGCTATACATAGCAGCGTTTACAACAAAATCTCAATAAAAGAACGTTAAATTTCTAACATTTCATGTATAATATATCAGTAAATATAGAATTTTGAAGTATCTGAACTGTTCTACAATCGTATTTACTGATAGCAATACTATCTCATACTTGCAACAACACAATATGAAACAATGAAGCATATTTAATCCAACTGTACGGATATGAACTTAAACTATAGTGTGAATATTAAAGATGCAATGAAAAAACGTCCATATGACCAATACGGAGAACAGAACAAAATGTGTTTCGAATTCCATTGTTAAAAATGGTCATGTTAAAGTAATCCAGACACGGTGCCTAAATGTCAACGAACACTGATAAAAATTTAGACATACATATTACCAATAGAATAAACTACGCCTGGAGCCCCCCTCCCAAGGCTACTGCCAGTCCCAAGCCCGGATAAAAGAGGTGGGTTGAGAAGGTCTTTATTTAGAAGAGTTATGACATCTCATAATAAAAGCCAAGTTCCTTTGGAAGTGATGAGGCCGATGCCCCTTCTGACAAACAGAGCCCTTTCACGGTGTGGGCAGCCGGAAAGTAATATCCGCTCTCATACCCGTAAAATCATACGAAACAAGATCCGTCACAACCAAATCCATTTTACATCTCCTAATAAGTCTCCTATCTCCACGACCATCCCTTCTTACGAAGTTCTACGTTGCTATCGATTGATTGATTAATTGAGAGACCTTGAACGACATGGCTCAAAATCGTTTGCAATGGCGCAGGTGCATCCACTCTTTGTGTTGTCTCTAATTCTAACCTTCTGAATTCCTCATCATCTCTATCGTTCTCTTTCTAAAGTTATCTCACTGAATTATCCTTCTCGAATCATATCTTCGATCAATCATATTCTCCGTTACTGCTAATACTTCTACTATCTCTACCACTATGGGATTTGAACTGACAGTTGCACCTCTGTGCTAATGCGGTATGGCAACCTGAACTGATGTACGTACGTACGAAGTTCTTCATCGTATCTGTCTGTCTATGGATGCATCTGCACCATCGCAAACGATTTTGAGCCATGTCATTCAAAGTCTCTAACCATCGATTACTATCATCTCGCGGGCCCCAATCAGGTAGTCGACACCTACCAACATGGCTCAGTCCACTTGTCAGTGACTTCAAGGATTTCTTTTATGTTTTGGTCTGACCGCCACTAGCTTTCTTTCAACCTAACCCAGCTTACGCCACAAAGCATCGCTCGTCGAGGTAGTCAATGGTTGGGCATACGTAACACATGCCCCAACCACCTCAATTGATGAACAGTCAATCGATTTACCATCCTTGCCTAGCGCCCGTTTCCTAAAACCAGAATTGCTGACTCGGTTGTCCCACGATACACGGATAATGCTTTTAAGACACCTATGATAGAAAACCAGTAACCTACGAATATCTTCTACTCTTACTGACCATGTTTCGCAACCATATAGTAGGACAGAGCGAACTACTGCGCGGTATACTCGTCCTTTGGTTAGCAGACGGATATCTTGCCTACGCCATAAGTGACACAAGTTGCCAAAAGCCGGTCGAGCCTTCTGTATCCGTGCTAAGATTTCGTCAATCACCAGGCTATTAGCACTAATGAGACTCTCGAGATAAGTGAAGCGGTCGACACGCTCAACTACTTCACTCACTATCATTTGTTCAGGTGCCGATGCAAACCAGTCCTGTAGTGACATTTTGCATTTTGGGAGGGAGAATGACATTTTGAACATGCTTGCATTGTTGCTTAAGATGATCAGAAGACTCTGAATTTTGTTAGCGTCTTCACCGAATAGAACTGTTGTCATAGGCATATCCTAAGTCGACAAGTGGATTTTCTGGAGGTTGTGTTCGTGTAGACAACCTGTATAAGGAATGTAATTCTTCAGTGCTCTTTTCAATGATAGGCAGTGCCACTTACGTCAGCTTGCCATTAAGGTCGACTGAAGATCATAGGTAACCAAAAAGTGGCTGCAGACCAGTTGAACTGTTCCATAAGATGATCTGCATGTTGATCGAATCTCCTAGACTGAGAATGAATAATAGTCCCATCTTTTACCGAGATAGTCTCGCTTACAGTCGGATTTCTAATAACAGTTTCATTTATAAGTTTGGACAGGTATCTACTGTTACGTGTTGCCGCCTTTTTTCTTTCTGTTTTGCCTTCGCTACCCACTACTGTTAACGGTCAATGCGTAAGCTTCTGGCTAGACTGCACTTAAGCTGACTCTGCTCCTTATCACGTTCATATCCAGATGGAATGAGTTTCCGAGTATCTATCATTTCAGTAGATGCTACAGAAACCTACTCACTCTTACTAACCTTATGGTCTACCTTACCGTTAGATATCACTGCTATTTCCACAGCTTTTTGGATATCATTCCAAGTTGCCTCGGGGCAGGTATCATTTAGATGGCTGCTCAACTGTTTTTCTACTTGCTCCTGAATCTAAACATGTGCTTCAAAATGAGCGGCAGTCTTCTATCGAGCCTCGATGGCTGATAGAGATGTTGTCTAACTGGATCCAGCGTTGAGTTGATTTTGGGGGGTCGCCATGTTAAAAGACGTGTGGTGTGTATATTATTATGTAGAGGCCACAGGGCTTAGACAATATAATCGATCCGTTCTTCTCCAGTTATTCACACGTCTTTCGACCTTACTAATTATTTACTGCTAAGTGGTGGTTTCTATTCGAGTGTGTGAGAGCCAACTTCATGTAATGAAGAATGACTAAGCGCATTTATAATCCGACAAAAATAAGCCAGACATGCAGTAAGAGAAGTAAACGGCACAAAGACTCGAATAGAAACCATCACTTATAAGTAAATAATTGGCAACGTCGAAAGACGTGTGAAAATCAACTATAGAGGAGTGGATTAATTAAATTGTCCAAAGGATGAGAAAAGCCATATGGGCTCAATATAAAAGTACACATACTACAAATGTTTTACCCTATACTTATAGTTAGTGTTTGCCAGAAATAGGCGGTTATCTGAGGATAGTTGCAGCAGACAGTTGGCATGAATTGGTTTTTGAGCCGCGATACCATATAATCCACCTGGGTGTCTTAGTCCACCTACTTGCGCATTAAAGTCAACAGCCACTATTACTACATTAGAGCGTTTAACTTTTTGAAGGAGGTAGGAAAACTTTCTCTAAAATACTAAATATATCGCCGTAGAGCTGCATTTCTAATTTTCAATCACTCCATGAATCATACCAACTGGTTTCTATTCGAATTGCATAAAAAACGAACGAAAACGTTCAACAGTATACTTACCAAATTTTTGACAATTCTGAAGATGGCAACTTTGACAACTCAAAGAATGTTTTCGATTGTATCCCACTGAGTTTTGAACCAATATCTGGTTGTAATCTGAGAAACTGTGATAAATAATAGGCTTTCTGATCTGATGTAATTGCCCATGGATCTCCAATATGTTGATTTGTTACAGTATAATTATTTGACATGCTTAAGTTCGGAGAGAAATTTGTAGTAGTTTTAGTAGTAGCAGGAGGAGTAGTAGTAGCGGTGTTAGCAAACGGAGAAATATCAGTAGTATTCAACTGTTCTCTCGACTGAACAGTTGGTTGATTAAAACTAGACCAGTTATTCAATTGATGACTGGGAAATAGCATCTCTGTACAATGCGATGAATTAATTTCCGAATGACTGTTTAAATTCTCATGATAGATTGACCTCTAAAAATTATGACATTCAATATAAAAATATTACTATACGAATCATTGCAAGACTACATCGGACAACAATCATGCGTAGTGAAAACTAGAATTTCAATGTTTAACGCTCGGTCAAAATTAAAAATAGCTTGTGCGAAGTTTATTTATCTAAACACATCAACATTCGTACAAAGGTGCAACAAAATACACACGCTTAACGCAAATCCATGAATTTGTGTATCGGCTAGCGTACTACCCGGTTTCCCAAATCAAAGAAGATGGTTTTCTTAGAGGGTGACTCCTTGAGACTTTGATTTGCAGGTATTAATACACAAGGCAGCGGGACGACGTAAGGAGATGCATTGCCATGACAACCAGTGACCACGAATGGGTTTACATGCCATTTTTTCGTCCGGATCCTGTAGCCTATGTACAAAAATGGTTTGAAATCAGAGCTTTCCAGCTCCCCTATGTTCATATGTCGTACCAACTAACTCGGTTTAAGGGTTAAACCCTCGAATTTCGCACTTTCGGTTTCGTTAGCGACACCGCCGCCATGGACTTTGCCAATCTTCAGGCGTAACATGGCATTTGGAAGCAACTTGGAGAAAATCCTGAACTGAAGTTTTATGATAGTTAGGTACTCTATAACACCAAATACTTTCAGTGTGGAAGGAACTAATGTTCCTTATGTGGTTTAAACAGGCGTTAACCAGCTTCACAATCTGAGACCTTACAACTGATACTTTGGCTTTGACTTATCTTTTTTAAGAATAAGATGTATTTACAACTAACTAGTCACTGAACAGCAACTGAAGTCATATTTGTCAAGCTTTGTATTGCTCAGCGAAATCGATCTGCTAACCCCTTATTTGACCCCTAGTCAGAGTGATTTGATATCGTTTAAGAACAAACTTCCCACTCATCACATATTTTGTGGATAATAAAAGGCATGTGAATACAATGATTACAGAACTTGCGAAATGAATAATAACTAAGTAATGATGCATTTCATTCACTTACTGATCTTGGTGACTGGTGATGAGTTGCAGCAACTGGTGATAATGTTAGATCTGTATGATTTTTTACAATAGGTAATTCATTCGATTGGTTCGAAGAGGAAGAAGGAAACACTAAATGCTGATTAGTCAAACCAAAATTAGGAAGATGTGAATTTATTGTTTGTTCTTGATTAGTGAAAGATGATGTATCTATAGGGAAATAGGCTAATAAGGAAGAAGAGAAATAAATTAAATATATAAAATGCTGCAAATAAAGTTACAAAGAAATGAGAAAACTTTATTATCAATTAAAGCAGATACAATCAAGTTTATGTGGCTCAATGGACTTAGCGCTGAACCACTCCACGTATGACTATGAATTTGTCCTGTCCACCTCAATATTGATTGGATGCAATTGATATTTAACCTGCAATTGTCTGTCTCGTTATTTCGATTTTATCCTCCTTTGATATGGTTGTTGATCCTATGCTTGTATACGACTTTCTTGATTGGTTGATAATATTGGATTATCGTGAATGTGTATGTAGATTGATGACTCACCCGAGTTCCAAGCTTCTAAAATTTCTCTACTGTTCTTTATATCCCCTCTATCCAGTATTTTAACATTTTTCCGGTCCAGTATAAATTCACTGTTGTTCGTATGTATTGATATACGAGAAAAGATGTCATGACGTTTGACTGCTAATTGATGTTCACGCAGACAAAGTTGAAGGTGACATCCACTGTCCGAGGTAGCGTTTTTCACAGTCTGATCAGTTTATTTTGTAGATGATGTTTGGTTTTTCTTCTTTAGTCGTTTCGTTCTTTGGTTTAGTATTGATTGACTAAATTCTGTCGGTTTATTTTCTAATCGTGCTGCAATTTCCGATGTCTTTTATAAGTGGTAGGATGGTCCGGTTTTTGGTTCCTGTACCTGATTTCACCTCTGAGGATGGTTTAGGTTAGCTTTTGGTGGAGTGGCGTGGATGGCCGTTCTGTGTGCATTGGTTTTATATAAAATGGCGCTAACAAAGTTATTGTTGCAGCAAACTTAGACTTTGAACGGCAGTAAAGGCCAAAGGGATTTCTGGCAAGTTGATTCTTGATACACTGACAATAGATTTTGGCAGTGTCGCGTAGCCAAGTTCTTTCATATTGAGATAGTGGTAAAAATTCCTAGATTAAGGTGTTTTAGCTGTTGTTTTTCGAGCTAAATGGTTTAATTAGTGAAGCTGTTATTGTCATTCTGAACATCAGTGTAAACTTCAGATAGAAGCCAGCTATTCAAATTTATTAACATCATTAACAGACTTATATCTAAATTTTATGTGGATGATATTTTACTGACGGATAATGAGCTTTACAATTAAGCTATCTAGCTTAGAGAACGCGGTCTTATTGAAGTTTGGTGATCGTACTCATTTTAGCGATGCACTTTTAATTGTTCAGATATTTTAGCTATTTGCTCCTTGTTCGACTAGTCAGAGAGAATATTAATATGAGGTTGAGATATAATGTAGTTAAATTCACTGGATAAACAAGAATGATCATCTGAAGTGAAATACTAAAACCTCATTACGTCACTATAATAATAAAAGCCGTCAGTAGCAACTTCAATGGTTTGCTCCAACAAAGAAGATAACTATCATTTTATATTATAAAAACAGTATACCAAGGATAGGAGAAAGCTTACGAAGTCATTCAGCAATATTTATTGTGTGTTAGATAAGACTTACAGTAAAAAGCACAAGTAGGAATTGATAGGGGTTTTTTAACCGTAGAACTGTCGTCATCATCGTCAAACTGAGCCCATGATTCTTGTCCATGGCGAACTTGTTCCATTTTATTTAATAATCAGCACCACCAAGGACGGAACTAAGTTCATAATACCATCATCTGGAAACAAACGTATGTTTAACCAGAACTGTTAGGAAATGTCAAAGGAACAAAAGATAAAGAACCAAACTAAAACTGTGAAATGGGTCAAAAATTCTGAAGATATGTGCCTACAAACCGAATATTATACCGTTCAGCATACTAATTCAAATTTCTAAACAAAACTAATAAATTTTGGGACAGCCCCACTAGGATTTTATACAGATCTTGAGGGAATGCAGAAAAGCACCAAATTTTTTACAGGTCTTAGGTTTCTCCCGAACATCTGCTCAATATAAACCCAATATGGGTAGAATGGGCGACACCATGTTTATCCAGGCAAAATAATGCAGGATAACTACTCTAGGACCATACTGCCAAAGATCTTTTCAAACTGAGGATTAAAAAGTGCTTATTTAGAAAATTATCTGATATGTCAGTGGTGTTTAGAAGTAATCACTATGTACTAACTGTCATACTGCTGACCTTTGAGTGCTGAGACATTTCAGAATGATTCATTTTAAGTTCTCTGAAATGAGGTGCGAGCAATTTATTAAAAGAAACTGGACATATATTCAGAGGATCAGTTTTAATTTACTAGACACAAAAAAAAAACATTTTTGCTGACTAAACTGTAACAACACCGACAAAGCGTGCGCTCAGGTAATTCAATATACAATATTCATTGCCTTTTTTACACTAGTTACTGTAAACTAATTGGTTTCTTGGCACTCGATTCTTGTTATTTTGGTACGGTTCAAGGTGTTTGGTAGTGTTCAACGAATGAAAGAGTAGCCACTTGACTGCACTAATTTCAGTCATTCGGCAGTTGTATATCAGTTTGTATCCCCCATGATTTGAATGAATACGTTTGTTTTAGGCCACTAGGGTTTCCGGATACCAGCAGCCATCACATTACCAGGTCGGAGATCGGTCTGTTGCAATATGGAGAATAATAAGGAGAAAATTTTAATGCTAATAAGAAGAAGATGTCAGAACAATGTAAACGAATGGGCAAATTATTTTATTAATTGATAGTGAAAATTGTGTGAGAGGATCAAAGTTTAGGCAGAGGAGGAGAAACAGAAATAATAATCGAGATTGATCATGTAGTTGATCTGAGACTATGGCAGTGATAACAACTAGCAGGTCTCAAGACATGGATCAGGCAAGACTGATAGAAGGAGATGATAATTTTTAGGTGAGTACAGGTTTATCAAGTCTCTTCTTAAGAGTGTAAACCGAGAGGACTGTGGTCTCCTTAATTAGTAGAACATTCCAAGTTACCCTGTACCTGAGTGTTCATTTTTTATGCGCAAAGTTTCGAGGATTGCCTCGAGGGGAGTGATGGTTTTGCATCGACAAAATGTTTACTTTAGGGTGGTTTGGCGTCCTTAATATGTTCTTTACCGAAATCAGATTAACATTGTCTATCCTATTGCTCCGGTGGAATAATCCCAAATGCTGGAGTCCATCTTCAAAGGTTTTGTCTTTCGACCCTATCACTCTTTTCGTTCCAACGACGTTGTGAACATCAAGTTGTAGGCGTTCATATGTCTTAATGAGCGTTAAGAATAATGCCGAAGTCATAACAGCATGTTGTCTTCGCATGATGTAAAGGGTCGCGTTTGCCTTGGCTGCGCCACCTTTGTACTTTGAGCTTGTGTGGAGGCTTCCAGTGGTTATTAAACCGAGATGACGCTCTGAGGAGTCATTAGGGAGCGGACTTCCATTGCAGATGTGAATCGTTTGCATCATAAGGGTCAGAATGTACATGATGTGGCATTTCGGTTGGTTCAGTGTTAAACCGTTTTTCGCTGCCTATTCCTCAATGGACTTAAGGTCCCTTTGGAACTCAGTTGAATTCTCTTCGCTTCTCATGGACCTCCAGACCTCCTCTGAGCAGATCAATGCTGCTGAGCTAACTGCGTCTAACAGGTCGTTAATGAATAGCAGGAAGAGAATAGGACCTAAGATGGTGCCCTGAGAACCTTTCGACGTTGAGACTTGCCAACTCGCGTGCACTCTATTTACCTTGTTTCGAAACTTCATATTCTCAAGGTAGTTTCTGAGCCACGATAGGAGTGGTTCATTGAGGCCCATTTCCGCGACCTTAGCGATTAGGCTTGCGTAAGTTACTGTGTCGAAGGCCTTCACAAAGTCAAGAAACATTATGTGCACCAGTATTTTTCGGTCTGTGCAGGATGTCAAATACAATCAATAACTCAATATCCTTCATTTTTATCAGTCGATTTCCGTTTGCTTGCATTCTGCTACTTTGTTACAGATCCAGATATTTGCTAGTATCCGACAGGTAGTAGCCTGGACACCAGAAGACGCTAATTACAAACATTCTGGTAGTCATTTATGCATTTGTTAGCCATGTAAATCAAGTGCTTTCCTTTTATTTACTTCTTAAAGACAATCTACAGTTAATAGAACTGAGTTGTCTTCACATAAAACGAAGAGTTTCATTCACTTAGCTGCATCCCATATATGGTTTAAACTGATGTCTAGGTTCCCTGTGATTACAAGATCGAGGTTGTTCTCTGAGATATTCGGGCGCGGACTCTATGGAAGAATTAAGTTAGTCACATTACTTGGAGTACTATATTCGTGACGTGATATTTCGACTTGTTAACTTCTAACCCGTTGTCTACTGCCCATTTACCTATTGCCGTAAAGTCCTCTTCAAGCTCAAATGAATAGTCTTCGATTCTGATAAATATCCAGATCTTTGTGTCGTCTGCATAGTTTAATGCCACTGAGCTAATTTTATTTAGGGGAGTTATTATTAAATGTCAAGAATTATCTGATTCATGTGGTACCATCCATATAATCAGTCAGTCCCGATATTTGAGTGCTAACAACAAGCATCGTTAGTATTTAAAGGAATCCATGGAAATTATCTGATAATCTATTTTATTCCACTTTTATTGAAGCAACACTAGAATGATTCCATCAACTTGGTTAATTCCATACTCTGTGCCATTAGGGCTTTAAAGATGTTGATAATGATTTTGCGACTCTACCTCTTATCGTTCGCACCCAATCACATTAGAGATGTTTCGTGTTTAGCAAGCTCTACTCGTTGCCCGCCATATTGGGCATAATCAGTGTTTCAAACACAATAGGGATTACATGTTTCTAATATTTGCTAATTTGTCTCATCAGCTGACGCTGTAGCAGGTTTTCAAACAAACCGTCCGAGATGGGTTCGTCACGTATGTTTGAACTAGCCATGAACGTGGATTCAGCCACCTATTTCGTCACTTGTTGGTCAGGTTCAACCGACATCAGTGTGGATGTTATGTAACTTCTCTGCTGTTGTGTAATACATCTATGTTGACTCTCACAAGTTGTAAGGTGACCATAGAAATCTTCATGCTGTACTGGGCTTTGAGCTCCTCACTCAGATTTTCTTTCTGATATACAAAACAAACTTTGCGGTCAAATGAACAGACAGAACTTCTTAGATTTCGTAGCATACTTATTGAGATGAATACATTTGTGGCAGTGATTACCTTGGATATATTTTGTATGCTGAATGGAACTTCACATTATGTGCACAATCAAGCTACTGGGTATAAAATTTCTGTCTTAACTCAACCTTGATCTCGTGCCAACGTTTCGTTCATACTCTGTATCTCATACCAATTACCGTTCACAAGAGCACAATGCTTCTTGTACCCTCCTCGTTGTCACTTAATCATCAGTAATGCGATCGTAGAATATTGTGACATCAGTATTCCACCCTTCTTGACCTACTTTGTCTTAGATAGTATATATATAATGTAGTAACTCCACTTTTACGAAGAAAACGCGATTGGTCCCACTACACCTGGTAAGCCACAACGTTAATTGAAAATCCTTATTTCGGTGTTGGCTGATAGTTGGTTCCAGTTACAGATATTAAATTGTAGAAATGCGATCCACACATTAACATCTGAAACGTATCCACTTTGATTGTCGATGATGCTGCGCAGATAAGTAAAGGTGTTAACGTCCTCAAAAAGAATCTCGATAAAGAGTGATTTGGTCTGCGCATGTTGTATCGCAGAATCTTGCTTTTCCCTTTATGTATTTTGAAACATACTGCTGCTAAACCGGGGTCGTCTACTGTTGTATTTATTGTTGCGTGTGCGATCTAAGAGCAAGGTCATCTGCGAAATCCAAATCGTCCAGTTACGTCCTATCTGTCCATTGAATACCGTGCTTCACTTCAGATGCTGACGTCTTCATAATCCAGTCGATCACCGAGAGAAAGAGAAAGGGTGAGGGTAAGCCCGACACCGGTCTCCACCTCGAATGAGTCTGTCAGCTGACCTCCGTGCACGATTCTGCAGATGAATCCATCATGAGGATTCCGTATGATTTTGACTATCTTCTCAGTGTCCAGGCAGCCTTCATAGTATTTTCCTGTCCACGCTTTCAAATACATTCTCATAGTCAATGAAGTTGGTATAGAGTGGTGAGTTCCATTCAATTATTTGTTCAACAATGATCAGTCATGTTGAAATTTGGTCAGGACACAATCGATCCTTAGGAATACCTTACCAAGTAGAATTCAAGTCAACGGGAAAATGGCCGCAACCTAGTCAGCAAGTCTCTATATAATAAAATTCTGTTGAGCAATAATCCATTCTGATCATCACTAAATAATAACTCATTCGTGCACAAAAATGTATGACGGATAACGAAGTAGAATAAAGCATATAATTAACGATGTCCACAACCCTATATTGACCATCGTCAAATACTCAATAATGACTAGATTCATGAGCGAATTCTCAGTTTTAGTGAGACCAGTGGAGTTCACCTGGGGGCAACGGATGATTTAAAGTGATATCGTGAATTGATTGAGGTTATACATTAATATAGTTAGATGCTGACTCAATTGTCTTGACGCTAAGTGTTTTCGCGCGAGAACGAATGTATTAGGTTGGATTCCCGTGCGCGGGGTTGGTGGATGTGTATTGCTGAGTCCTGTACTAGAAGGAATTGTCCGTCTAATGCTTGTCTAGCATTGATCGAAGAAATTCCCACAACTGAATAATAAGAATATAAACAAGCGTTTGAGACCTCAGCGGGATGAGTAGACAACAAACCTTAATGTATAACCTACTGGGTTTGACGCAATATGTTTATGAAGTTAGTAGCTGAAGTAGTTTATCATTCAGACGACATCCATTGTTGGAGTGTTCTTTTAGTAATTAAATATTTTTCTTGTTTTGAATACCTAGCAAAAATAATTTTTTCAAAACATTTTTTGGAGCTAATAAAATCAAAATGCTAATCTTGTTCCTATTCCTGGCTCTATCATCAGTTTTTCGTCAATTCAGAAGTAGAAGTTTATTCTGTTCTTTCTCGTGGGATTCTACCAAGTACAACATTCTGCAGTACTTTATTAAGCTTATGAGATTAATAAACTGATCAGATGTCTTTATCGGGGTTTTACTAACATATTGCCAATGATATTTGGTATTAGAATTATTAGGGAAATAGGCTAGATCTGATAAGCCTGAGATAACCTAATAATTAACATTGCATCGAAATTACACTCAATATTAACTCTAACGTTTACCGAGAATTCCTAAAATCTATTTCAATGTCATTAAGTCTTGATGAACACTTATTCAAATGAACGCTCATCCATACAAGCAGTAACCACTAGAACTTCTAAGCTCACCTCAAATGCTAAGTAAAACAGAGCAGTGAGAAATTTGTGAATAATAGCCCTCTATCTGGTCGTGGCTACTAATAATTACTATCAACTCTGTGTAATTATTTATGATCTATTTCACAACTAAAACTCAACCTTTTCTCTTTAAGGTGTAGTGGAACGCTTCTACGAAGAAAATACGATTTGTGAAAAATAAACATTATTGTTCTCGTTTTGTTTAACTGTACCAAAAACAGTTCTACGACTTCTTGCGCACAACGTTCTTTTCGCGCTGCTGCCATCTTTCTCTATTTGCTGTTCCTGATGTAATGCCTACTGTCTCCTTCAATAAAACCTTGGATCATGGATTTATTTTGATTTTAAATGACGGCGGGATATTATGGAACATTTAGTGGTGAGCATAGTCAATCTGGTATCTTGACTGTCTCACTACAAAGGAATGGAAAATCTACTGATTGATAAATACTCAATTGTTGGAATCTAGTAAGAATCAAAACAAGTGTTTTTCAACTGAAAGAACAAGAATCCAGCTCAAAGAAATCAACAAGTTTATACTTGCGCATGAAAAAGATATTTGATATTGAACTTTGTGTCATACCAATAAATTACGTCAGAAAACTAAATTTTTCCTAATTACTTTTGAATTAGCACGAATGTTCAGAATTCATGAAGTTTAGAGTAACGGTCTATCAGCAAGCGTTAACTAACTAACTCCGAAGAGAAACCAAAGGTTGACTACCTTCAGCCACTTAATGCTAAAGCATAAACAACTTAGTTTTGTGGCCTAGTCGCAACTTAAGCGATAGAGTAATTTCATCTCAAAACGCGAAATAAATACGACAATCACTATCCAGTGAACAATCAGAGTCATCCTGAGAGGTGTTCAAATACTTGATAAGTTTAGATGAAAGTCACAAATGAATGCGACGTTCCGTTTTGAAATCTATTACGGATTTTATTTTTGAAATGAAAACTCTTAGTCTAATTAACGATCAGGAAAAACTTGGCATATTATTCTCGATATTTTATGAAACAGTTATGGCAGAACTGAACAGTTTTAGATTTTATATCTTCATATTTGTCACTGTTCAAACAAGTTGGGTAGAGATTTAAGTAGCGAAAAGTAATGTTTACTTTCATAGATATAAAGAAATAATTATTTTTAGTCATAGTTATTGAGTTGAACCAACTAAAAACGTTTAGACAATATTGATAAACATAGTATGGCTGAGAAAAATTTCTATTTTTCGGTGGGCGGGAAAATGATTACTGTATCGTTTTAATTATTGCTTTTTTTTAGAATTATGTGTAAAGTTACAGATGAAATATTTTGTTTAACTGTTAGTAAAAGATAATGAAAACTAACAAGTTCCAGGTGTTCAATAATTTCAACGAAATATTTTAACAATGAATAAGGTTAACTGATCAATGTTCATGAGTGTTTTGTTTAAATTTATGTAAAAAAAAACACAATTCGCTTAGTTCATTTTACTTTTCCTCCTGAATGATTCAACACGTTTTATTTTTCTGGTAATTTGCATTGTTCTTAGGTCACTTGGTGATTGTTTAGAAGATTCACATGGTGTATTTATGAGATCCTCATCTTTTAGATAAGAATTTAAGTTGGCATTAAGATTTTTATTGTTTATTTTAGTAATATCCAACGATTCAGATTCTGTATCCCTAAGCTGATATAAAAGAGAGAAATAAAGAGGCATTGAGTCTGAGTAAAAATTAAAGTATTACAATAGTGAAAGTGTAAAATTTCATAAAACAACTCATAAAGTAAGATTGAAACATTAGGTTTCTATTTTTTATTCCATCGCCATTGCATCGCCACATTAAATTATCAACCATTTAGTTAAGGTGTTTTTTAACATAGAACCTGGCAATATAATGGTTTCAATTTAAGTGTGTTGAATGCCACTCACATGTTGACTTATAAATAGTATGCAGTGGAGCATAGCCTGGAAGATGCTACTAGAGAGAAGAATGTAAGGATATCAAAGTGCACTGTATTATTAGAGTATTTGAATATCAGAAGATCAGTGCTAGAAAACAGTTGATAACCAGTGTGGATGGTAGGATACAAAATCAATGTGTGTGTTTATAGACTAAGTATATTCATATTTCATAGATTATTTTCGTTTTTATTGCTACATATTTCCTTACTGTACAAGTTTCAAACTAATATTAACTTGGTGAATTGAGATTATCGAGACAAGAGTGTAGACTGGTGGAAGCACCATCAGTTTTAACGGTAGTAGAAAAGACCAAGCGTAGACAGCATGATTCAAGAAGAAATTCTAGCGTCTATTGAAAGAAGTGAAATAGTTTTAAAACTCTCTAACCACTAACTGTGAATACTACTTAGAACTCACCCAAACAGTGAAGACCTACCAACGAGGTTCAGACAACGAACGCCCTACCAACGCCTCAGTGTGCAGAAGAAACATGAGATAAATACCTGTCAGAATTTAAGTATTATATGTGTTTATTTTGGACATGATGTTTAAAAATAATCATGCAACTGATTTTGCATTTCCCTATGAGGTGACCATAGATTAATTTTTTAATGTGATTTGTATCAGCCACCTTAATCCTGTCGTCATTATTTTCAGAAAAGATTACTGTTGTTAATTCTAATTTCAGGATTTTTAAATACAAAATCGAAAAATTGTTATTTTTGTCCTATGCACACGAAACGTTTGTGACTTTCCATTTTGATTTTCAGTAACTCAATTAAACAGCTAATACTGTCATACAGGAATTCTTAGAAGATTCCCTCGATTTAATTAACATCATGTTGCAAGGATTAGGCTATTTGGTATGCGGCTTGTAGTTGAATCAAGGACAATCCCTTTTTAGTGTTGTCGTGTCTGTTACACATGTTAATGAATATCTAAACTCAGTAGCTTATTGGATAATGCCTTTAAGTATTGATAGCTAAATAGTATTGAGTTTAGGTCCAAGTAGGAGAATGAACCCTAGGATCCAGATAAATTCATCTGATGAGTTCCAAATCAGACAAAACACTAATCCTTCAGTCTACTTCTAGCTAAGTGTAATATATTCAAATTAATCTACTGAACATGTTATATATTCAATGTGTAAAACTTATGCATTCATGTACAGTGTTACAGACATTGTCGATGAATAAAATTTCACTAGATATACTCCTGGCCAATCAATGACAAAAAAAATAATTAACCACCTAAAACTCACATCAATAAATATGGAAATTTCTTTCGCAGGATTCAGATAGGTTTCGTAGAAATATTCTAGCAATTTCTCTTGGTTCACTTCCCATTTCAACGATTTCTATGATTTATTTTATGAAAAGAAAAAGCAAACAGAAATATGTAGTTACTTAATAGTAACCTAATTATGTATACATATATGTATATAATTCTGAAATGAACTAGATCGTCACTTTACACAAACTCTGCCTATAGCCCCTCAGCAGCAAGCAATAGGTCTCTCACAACATCATACACAATCAATCAAAAAAGCAAGATTCTCCGATACAGCACTGCATGCACCAACCAACCAATCACAGTGGAAGATGAAGCTTCAGAAGATGTAAAAAATCTCTCAACATATCTGGGCAGTCTCGTTGATGAACACGGTGGGTGGACTTGATGCATGTAGACGTGAAGGTGTGGATTGGCAAAGCAAGCGCAGCATCTCTCTACAATTGAAGAACATCCGGAACTCAAAACAATTATCAACCAACAACGACAAAGTCACAATTATCAATACAAATGTCAACACAGTTCTACTGAGCATATGTATATATATATATATATATATAACTAACCTTTACATTTTTCGCTCCATCTAGACAATTCGTTTTAATCTTATCCCAATAAAACTGAGATATAACTTCAAGATCATTATTCTTGATTGATTCATTTGACATAACTGTGTCACACTAAACAGAACAACAAATAAGCATCAGGAAATGTCATGTTTTTTTTTCTAAAAAAAAAACGATATTTTTCGTTCATAAAAAAAAAGAGCTAATCATATTTTATACTTAAATGTCTTACACTTCGAATTCGGTCATAAGTTACCCTTCGTGTAATTATGATTGTTATTGATTGTGATACAGGTGCTTCCATGTAATTCAGCTTCACTTATGAGGAATTTTTTTTGGAAAATATCCATGTGATTGTTTCTTTGACAAAGTTTTTAGTAAAGTTGCATGGAAATGCATGCATACTTTAAGCTGTTTTAAAACTCAACAAAAAATATAGTAGCTTCTTTAAAATTCAATATTTAGCAGAGGCGGACGTCTGTATCAACGTAAAGAAAGTTTACCAGTTGATAAGAAAATTTCTATAAATTGAGACAAACTTAATGAAAATTTCAATCTAACTACTACCTTCTATTGATCTTCTACAGTACGCTACCATGAAACAATTTAATGACGTGAATAATTAATTCTTCAGGTAGTCGCTTTATGAGAAGATGGTATGAAGTTATTTATTTATTATTATACTATTCAATTCTGTTCACTATGTTTGTTTTTCAAAACAGTGGTTCCATTTGATAAATCTGAACAGAGAAATGAGTAGACATATTTTGTGAGATAGTACCATTTCGTGCTTTCTCGTCAGTCACATACAAGCAACATGTTATTCGTATAAATACAGTTTTATTACTGAGACACTTAAATTAAACGGATATCCCGAACAGTTTATTGGTCATCAGAACACAACTACGACGAAACTGATAGCAACTAATGTGCTCAAGAAACCAGTGGACCTACAGTTATCTTTCAAGGGTGATCATTGCATGAAAATTACAACCAAACAGACTGCAGCTGCAATAAAAAAGACCTTCAATGCAGCTAATCTGAGGCTTATCACAACAACCCCAATCAAGTCTCCAAGACCGATTCAGTCCAAATCCCACTGTATTTACCAGATCACATGTAACTGCAGAGAAAGTTACTTGGGTAGGACAGATCGCCGATTAGAGGATAGGATATGGGGAACATATTCCAAAATGGTTAATCAAATCCATAATTCATCCACCTAGCCCTTCATCTCAATATCGATCAAGAAACCCAGCCTCGTCCATTGCAAAGCATCTAATTATGAGTGGTCATCGAATTGACCCGAAATCAGGCTTTAGAGTTGTGACATGTCATTAAAACCCACACACACTCAAACTACTTGAAGCTATCTTGATTGGTCGGAAAAGTCCAACTTTATGTGTTCAAAAACAACTGTATGTTGACCTTTGTTTACCATGGTTCTAGTGAGTGAATGTCATGCTAAATAAGAAATTTTGACCTTATCTTCAAAACTGTATTTACACAAATAACATGTTGCTTGTATGTGACTGACGAGAAAGCACGAAATGGTACTATCTCACAAAATATGTCTTCTCATTTCTCTGTTCACTATGGTTGTATTTCACCCGCCCTGCATAAACTAAATTAAATGGTTTAAGAATCAGTAATTATTGTTTTTTAAAAAACCATATATAACATGTTCTCATTAAAATTTCGCTCGGAATTTATAATTAGATCTATTACAAAACGTACTTGAAAAAGTTACTAACCAATAATTTGAATACTTAACTAGTTCACTTAATTTAATACATTCACATTTTCAAACATTTAAAACTACAATATTGCATATTATGTTAAATAGGTGTTAGTGGGAATTAAAGCATGACTACGTCAGCTGCGAGCTGATTGGCTAATTTCCTATCCAATCAGCGCCTGGTCGAGTCTTGGAGAACAGGGTAGAAAGTTTACGTGTAGTTAGCTTGCTAGCTGATTGGTTAAATCTAATCTAGTCGATCACGTGACTTGCTATCCAGAAGCTTCTCATGTAAAAACTATAAGAACACTAACGTTGTATCTATTTGGCCTTCCGCTTCGTATTTCCATTTAACCTTGCTATTTGGAATATACTCTTTTCCTGTTTCAACCGTGTTTTTTAATTCTTTGGAACTTGTCCAGTGTATTGTGTGCTCAGAGAATACCAACCAATAGGAATTAGCTGGGAATTATTCTAAGCGAGTGTTACAACATTAGGTTTGTGAATTTCTTTCAATGATTGATTAAAAATCTTTCAAAATGTAACCTCTGATATATCATGCCATTGTAATAAATGAAATAATAAATTCTTGCTTTCAAGATTTCTGAAAAGATCAACTTTAATTGTTTAGAACTTTCTATTTGTTTTCTTTTGAATTAGTTCAGATGTTTGATGAAAATATTTTCATTTCATATTAGAATATATATATATATATATATATATATATATATATATATATATATATATATATATATATATATATATAGCTAAATAATTGAACATTGAATGAACGCATCTAAGTGTGTAAATCATATATATATGTATATATCTCATCATGAAACTTACAATTTGTTCAAAATTTTTCTTATTCTGATCAACACACGCAATGACCCGTGATGCAATCTCTTTCCAAAATACACGAATACAATTGATGAGATAAATGTCATCATGTTTATTTGATTGACTATTATTATTTGTCAGTGATAAACGTGTCCCAATAATTCGGCTGGATGAATTTGATGTTAATTTATAAAAATCTAATGAAACTGGACCATTGACTGATTCATAATGTTGAAAATATTGTTGTGCATGCGGTCTCAATAATTCCTATTGATTAGTTAGAAGAAATGATGTAATCATGATTGAATGAAGATTTTATAATGTGAGAAATATATGTGTGAAACTACTAAGTTCTTTCAAAAGCATATATATATAAATAACATTTAATTTTTTTAGGTTATAAGTAACTGTCTGCTTTGTGAGCTAAAATCATGTGATTAATTTTGGGCCTATTTATTAATATCCAATGTTTAACAAGTACAATTCGACAATTCAAAATAGATTGTTCACAAAAGAGACCGACATGATGAATGAAAAGTGGTAAATAGCATTACAAGTGGGGATAAGTAAACTGGAAGAATTGATCAAGTTAGACATTAACTGCGTTAGATACCGGCACAGTGGTCCGATGATTAGGCGTTCGCCTACAATGCCGAAGGCCCTGGGTTCGAATCCTGCGGGGTGCAGGAATCGTGGATGCGCACTGCTGAGGAGTCTCATACCAGGACGAAACGGCCGTCCAGTGCTTCCAGGTTTCTAATGGTGCTCTAACATTGATCGATTCATAGTTTCAAATAAACTGGAAGAAACGAATGGGAGCATAAATAGATAGAAAATGTGATTTGTTGAAATAGATAAGCCCTTGTGGTGGTGT